TGTGCTTATGATCTAACCAGCTTTCCTTTGCTTTACAGACCTGCAAAGGTTGTAAATGTGAGGATTGGTCACAAAGTTACTTTTTCATCACAGTTGGAACTGCAAATGGTCACTAAACAAGGCAGTCGCTAAATGAGGACTACCTGTATCTAGTATGCGCTAACTAAATGGTATGCAAGATTAATTCCTTCTCAGTATCATTGTGTTAGCTTAACATTGGGAGAGATTTATTATTTACACTTAAACATTCTGGAATTTCCTTGTATGGCTGGCTGAATATGACCCTTAAAGTCAAACATCAAAAGCACATGCTTTCTTTGGGTAATATATGGGACATACATTGGCTTTTCTTCATTTCTTGATAGAACTGTCTTGTCTAAAATTGTCCTAATTACTTCAAAGAGGTAACTTTCCCAAGCTTAGTAATCCTGTTTTTAGAAGTTGGAGTTATGATGTGTATCAACTAAATTCCATGGGATCATTAACATTCTTGAGTTACTAAGAGTTTACTAATAATTCTTGGTTTACTAAGTACACCTTTCCCCTAAATCTCTCTCCCTTTTGCATTCTGAACTTAGTTCATTTAAACTGTAGCTCTGTTACGTCTGGAATGAGAAGTTGTAATTATCTACCTTGTCTAAATTCTCAACAGTATACTTTTCTTTTACATTTTAAGATGAGACACTTGACTCCAAAATGGCTGAAAAATGTCTTGAAACAAAATTAGTTTAAAGGCTTTATTTGGAAATAACCAGACAGTGAATAAAAACTTTATATATTTATATTTTCTACATTCCTTTTGAAAACATAACACCATTAATATTTTTTCCAATTTAAATAAATGTAATTTCACTTAATTATAACTGTGCACCTAGCTTTCCTACTTACCATTTGTGATATCCTGGTAATATTGCATGAGTTCTTGATCATATAATTACCAAAATACTTAAAAATGGGCCCTACAGTCACCTGGCTGAAATAACAGATTCAGAACTCTTTCACTAACTTTGGGGTTCTGTGGCAGAATCATATGACAGAAGTTACTTTTACATACACAGTTTCTTTGGCTGTCTGTGAAATATACCTGGTAACTTCTTTCAATCTAGACCATAATGCATCCTTGTATAGCTGCTCCTAAAAATACCACCCACCTACCCTCCACACAGAAGAGCTAATGTGTTAACCAGTGTATTACCTGAGTAACACTGTAGTCTATAATTTTGAAACTGTTTTTACCTATTTCCAAACCCAGCTCAAAGTGCTTGTCCCAGGCTTCTTAAGGATGCTAAATTCTACAAAGATGAATCTATACCATCACCTGAAGCAAGATAGATAGACAACTTTGGAAAACACATCTGTGAGTAATCCCATTTATGGAGCTCCCAAAAGGAAGTCTTGTTGCCAAACTTCCTTTACTCTTATTTAGATGCTAGCTAAATATTTCTAGCAGCGTACATTTTAACTGGCTGTATAACAGTTGAAGTATATTGCCCAGAGGTTAAGCAGTATAAATTAAGAGTCCTGACCTATCAGACGTTCAAAAATCCCATGCTAGATTCATGATCCTTACACCCAGAGGATTCCTGTAACTATGAGAGTGCTGAGTTACTGCCAAGGCTAAAAGGCAGATTATTTCAATTATGCATACATAGTAATTTCAGTGTCTAGATATGTACAAACTGAGTTAGAGTGATCTATTCCATGTTTATAAAAGCTATGTTGTATGCAAAGAAATATGCAGTAGTTTAACTAGTCAAGCATCTTGTTTCTCTCAGTGGCCAGTGAGATCTCTATGCAAAATCAACAAACAAGAAATAAAAACAGTATCCACTTCTGTCCACTGGTTTTTAGAGGTATACTGTGTCAGTGCATAAACTTCAGCAGCTCCAGTTCTTTGTTTTTAAAAAATATTCTAGACCACAGCCATGGTCTATGAAGTATTTTATAAATTTTCTGGTATCATCAAAATGTGGTGTTAGAAAATCTTTGCATACATTTTAATTAGCTATGCAAGCTAAGTTGTTACACTATTGTTTGAATATACCATTACATAGCTTCAGCAAAACTTAAAACACCTCTTGTATACAGTGAAGTAATGCAGTAGGGAAAAAAAAACCCTAAGCAACTTGAAAAGAGGACTCTGTAACAGCCAAAATCCAGAAAGCATGAAAAAATATATTGATCCCCCCAGCCAAACATATAAACACAACTCAGTTCTCAAACATGACGTTTCAAGAACAATACCAAATGCAAGGAAGCATTTGTAAGGAATGCAAGGAAGCTTTGTAAGTTAAAACAGGAAACATTGTCATGCCAAAAGTACCAGGATTTAGTAAGTCCTGCACAGCAGGGAAAGAATAGTGATGGGATATTTAGGCAAGTACTAAAGTATGATTAATATTAAGGAAGAATGTCATGAAGTTACTCTGGTTTAGCCTGTAACCCTTCCAGCACTGCACGGAGAATAGCTGCAGCTGCTACAGCACCAGGATCGGGCTGTTCTAGGCGGGCTGAGCTGATGTAACTGGCTCTGCCTGCAGCAGCTTCCATATTCTTTGTAGATTCAGCAGCAGCCTCTGCCTCCTTTAGAAAAAAGCAACATAAATGAATATACTACAAACTTGTTCTTTATACAGATGTAACAGTAGATATAATACACAAAAGTTTCACGTCTCAATCTGAAAGGCATTATCATTTTTGCTGCTACATTTTTCACTCTAATGCTGTTAATACTTATAATTTTTGATTATTGATTTAAGTGTTTGGCTTTTGGCTGATTATCAAAGTGCAACCTTGGAGGCAAGAGCAGTATTTTAAAACAGCTCCTTTCTAGAAGCTGGCACAAAACAATGCCAACTCCCTGAAACCATGCCTTGCCCAACCTGTACTTTTCTCCTTTCTGAAAGGCTCCAAAGACTTAGCTGAAATCTGTTCCCATGCCTTGAAGGAGCACTTCCCCAA